TTGGACCAGTGTAACAAAACGAAACATGGGACCAGTGTAATAAAACGGAAATGGGACCAGTGTAACAAAACGAAACATGGGACCAGTGTAATAAAACGGAACATGGGACCAGTGTAACAAAACGAAAATGGGACCATGTTAAAACGGAACATGGGACCAGTGTAACAAAAACGAAACATTGGACCAGTGTAACAAAACGAAATATGGGACCAGTGTAACAAAAACGAAACATTGTAACAAAACGAAACATGGGACCAGTGTAATAAAACGGAACATGGGACCAGTGTAAAAAAAACGGAACATGGGACCAGTGTAATAAAACGAAAACATGGGACCAGTGTAATAAAACGGAACATGGGGACCATAACAAAACGAAACATGGGACCAGTGTAACAAAAAACGAAACATGGGACCAGTGTATAAAACGGAACATGGGATTAACAAAACGAAACATTTAACAAAACGAAACATTTATTGGACCATAACAAAAAACGAAACATGGGACCAGTGTAATAAAACGGAACATTGGGACCAGTGTAACAAAAACGAAACATGGGACAGTGTAATAAAACGGAACATGGGACCAGTGTAACAAAACGAAACATGGGACATAAAACGGAACATGGGACCAGTGTAACAAAAACGAAACATTGGACCAGTGTAACAAAACGAAATATGGGACCAGTGTAACAAAACGAAACATGGGACCAGTGTAACAAAACGGAAACATATAAAGGGATGGGACCAGTTAAAAAAAGGGGAACATTTAATAAAACGGAACATTTAACAAAAAACGAAACATGGGACCAGTGTAATAAAACGGAACATGGGACCAGTGTAATAAAAACGGAACATGGGACCAGTGTAATAAATAAAAAAACATGGGACCAGTGTTATAAAACGGAACATTTTGTAACAAAACGGAACATGGGACCAGTGTAATAAAACGGAACATGGGACCAGTGTAATAAAACGAAACATGGGACCAGTGTAATAAAACGGAACATGGGACCAGTGTAATAAAACGGAACATGTTAATAAAACGAAACATGGGACCAGTGTAATAAAACGGAACATGGGACCAGTGTAACAAAACGAAATATGGGACCAGTGTAAATAAACATTCCAGTGTAACAAAACGAAACATGGGACCAGTGTAACAAAACGAAACATGGGACCAGTGTAACAAAACGAAACATGGGACCAGTGTAAAAAAACGGAAATGGGACCAGTGTAATAAAACGGAAACATGGGACCAGTGTAATAAAAACGGAACATGGGACCAGTGTAATAAAACGAAACATGGGACCAGTGTAACAAAAAACATTGGACCAGTGTAATAAAACGGAACATGGGACCAGTGTAATAAACGAAACATGGGACCAGTGTAACAAAACGGATGGGACATAATAAAACGGAAAATGGGACCAGTGTAACAAAACGAAAATGGGACCAGTGTAACAAAAACGAAACATGGGACCAGAAAAAAAGAAACATGGGACCAGTGTAATAAAAAACACAAAATGGGACCAGTGTAACAAAACGAAAATGGGAAGTTAAATAAAACGGAACATGGGACCAGTGTAATAAAACGAAACATGGGACCAGTTAAAAAACGAAACATGGGACCAGTGTAAAACGAAACATTTAAAAAACGGAAACATGGGACCAGTGTAATAAAACGGAACATGGGACCAGTGTAACAAAACGAAACATGGGACCAGTGTAATAAAACGAAACATGGGACCAGTGTAAAAAAACGAAACATGGGACCAGTGTAACAAAACGAAACATGGGACCAGTGTAACAAAACGAAACATGGGACCAGTGTAATAAAACGAAACATGGGACCAGTGTAACAAAACGAAACATGGGACCAGTGTAATAAAACGGAACATGGGACCAGTGTAACAAAACGAAACATGGGACCAGTGTAACAAAACGAAACATGGGACCAGTGTAATAAAACGAAACATGGGACCAGTGTAATAAAACGAAACATGGGACCAGTGTAACAAAAACGAAACATGGGACCAGTGTTAAAACGAAACATGGGACCAGTGTAACAAAAACGAAACATTGGACCAGTGTAACAAAAAAAAACGAAACATGGGACCAGTGTAATAAAACGAAACATGGGACCAGTGTAATAAAACGAAACATGGGACCAGTGTAACAAAACGAAACATGGGACCAGTGTAACAAAACGGAACATGGGACCAGTGTAATAAAACGAAACATGGGACCATTAACAAAACGAAAACATGGAGTGTAACAAAAACGAAACATGGGACCAGTGTAATAAAACGAAACATGGGGACCAGTGTAACAAAAACGAAACATGGGACCAGTGTAATAAAACGAAACCTGGACCATAAAACGGAACATGGGACCAGTGTAATAAAAAACGGAAACATGGGACCAGTGTAAAAAAACGGAAACATTGGACCAGTGTAAAAAACGAAACATGGGACCAGTGTAATAAAACGAAAATTGGACCAAAAAACTAACAGTGTAATAAAAACGGAAACATGGGACCAGTGTAATAAAACGAAACATGGGACCAGTGTAACAAAACGAAACATGGGACCAGTGTAACAAAAACGAAACATGGGACCAGTGTAATAAAAAACGAAACATGGGTCCAGTGTAATAAAACGAAACATGGGACCAGTGTAACAAAACGAAACATGGGACCAGTGTAACAAAACGAAAACATGGGGACCAGTGTAACAAAACGAAACATGGGACCAGTGTAACAAAACGAAACATGGGACCAGTGTAATAAAAAAACGATGGGACCATAATAAAACGGAAACATGGGAATAATAAAAACGAAACATGGGACCAGTGTAACAAAACGAAACATGGGACCAGTGTAACAAAACGAAACAGATAAAACGAAACATGGTGTTTGTGTAAAAAAAAAAAAAATTAACAAAACCAAACATGGGACCAGTGTAATAAAACGAAACATGGGACCAGTGTAATTAAAACAAAATGGGACCATAAAAACGAAACATGGGAAGTTAAAAAAAACGAAACATGGGACCAGTTTGTGGGACCAGTGTAATAAAACGAAACATGGGACCAGTGTAATAAAACGAAACATGGGACCAGTGTAATAAAACGAAACATGGGACAAGTGTAAAAACGAAATACGAAACATGGGACCAGTGTATTAAAACGAAACATGGGACCAGTGTAAAAAAACGAAACATGGGACCAGTGTAATAAAACGAAACATGGGACCAGTGTAAATAAAAAACGAAACATGGGACCAGTGTAATAAAACGAAACATGGGACCAGTGTAATAAAACGAAACATGGGATGTAACAAAACGAAACATGGGACCAGTGTAGTAAAACGAAACATGGGACCAGTGTATTAAAAACGAAACATGGGACCATAACAAAAACGAAACATGGGACCAGTGTAACAAAACGAAACATGGGACCAGTGTAATTAAAACGAAACATGGGACCAGTGTATTAAAACGAAAATGGGACCAGTGTGTAACAAAAACGAAACATGGGACCAGTGTAACAAAACGAAAACATGGGACCAGTGTAACAAAACGAAACATGGGACCAGTGTAATAAAACGGAACATGGGACCAGTGTAACAAAACGAAACATGGGACCAGTGTAGCAAAATTAACACACAATAGCAAACAAAATATATGTCCCTATAACAAACCATAAACTGAGACTAGTGTAACAAAATTGAAATTGTGGATAGTGTAACAAGCCGGAAAAAGCGCTAATATAAACAAGATAGAGTCACTGTAACAAGGGTGAAACCGATGACCGTGCAACAAAAGTGAACTTGGGTCAGTGTAACGAAACATAATATGAGATCAATATAAGAAGATGGAAACTGGTGCCTGTGTAACCTAGCAGAAAAGAGGAGTAGTGTATCAAAACGTATTAAAAAGTGTGTGGGGCAGTGTAACAAGACAGGGCAAAGCTTGATTATTCTTCTGGAATAAAGATGATTAAAAATGAACAATAACAAGACGATAAACGTTCATTTAAACAAAATGGCGCTCCAAATTCTGAGACCAAAACCAGCAGATGACAAATATACAGCGTAGTATTTCGTTAAAATTTGTCCATTCAAATATCGATTTTGTATTGAAGAAAAATACGCAGAAAAATTCATATTTGAAACAAAAAAATAAAAAATAAAAAAACAAATGAAATATAAAATAAACCTACAATCTACCAAAATCCTTGTCACAAAATTATTTTTCGTTGTTAATTTTGTTTTTTAATATTATTTTGTAGCAAGTGCTAGGCCATTTTAGATTCTGCGACCATTAAGCAGCTAAAAACGGCAGTAAAATGAAAGCTAATAACTATGTAGTTATAAAATAAGAACATCCCATCGCCCTTCTCGCTTGTAACCATCCATCACAATAAAATAAAGGCTAAATTAGTCAAATAAAAGTTCATAAGCTTCTACTTACACTTTCACTTGCTACTATACTACAAATAGATTAACAATAATTATTAGATTATATGATTAGTCATTGTGAAAAGCCTTATATGATTAGTTTTTATTAGTAATCTTTTACTGGGCCTGATTTATAGATGAAACTTTATTATAAGGATGTATAGGAAAGAATATATATATATATATATATATATATATATATGTGTGTGTGTGTGTGTAAAGAAATATACATAATATCTTAAATTAATTGCACAACTCCGAGTTTCATGCCGAAGCAATTTTCTAGTGCTGAAATTATTATATTTATATTTATTTATATTTTGGGTTGACACCGTTTTTTTTTTTTTTAAATCTTCCGGTTAAGGCGAGATATATTATTGTTGTAATATTATTGTAGTTAAAATATTTAAATAAATTGTAATTTAATTTTGAATTTGAATTTAAGTTCAGATTAACATTTAAGACTGAAAATAAGGTTGGATAATGTGAAATATAAATGCTAAATTAGGGAGATGCTGGTTTTGAAATTATTTATATTTAGCTATTCGGTTATCTATCTATCTATCTATCTATCTATCTATCTATCTATCTAAAAGTGAACATTTCAAATCAGAGGCCACTGAGTGTTGATTTCAAAGTCCCCTCTGATATTGATCACTTTTACAAAACAAATAAATTTATATATATATATATATATATAAAAAAATATATATAAGGTGAAGAAATTTTTTCTCATTTATCAGAGAAAGTCTCAATAAATATAAAAGTGAATATTGAAGTCAAAACTTCAGGCGACCTGTTTTATGATAGTATATATATATATATATATATATATATATATATATATATATATATATATATATAGGTATAGATTAGGATATATCAAACTACCAGATATCAACTGTATACGTGCATGTTGGCGTGCATCCACAGGCAAACAAATAAATAATCATCAAATTTATTTATGAAGTGTAAACATAACAGTGCTCAATGTGGTTACACAGAGCAAAGATATATATCATATCCATATTTTTGAATAAGGTATATTTTTTTAAAAAACATGTGTTCAAAACTTAGGGGTATATATATATATATATATATATATATATATATATATATATACTTATTTGGTTGGATAGATTTGAGTTTGAAACCCTGGGTTTCACGCTGAAACAATTTTGTTTGTCTGACGATCGCTAAAGCGTGAAACCCAGGGTCACAAAACTCACATCTATCAACCAAAGAATCTCTGATATTGAGCGCTTTCGGTACCCCACATATAATATATAAATATTTATATATATACATATTTATTTATATTTATACACACACACTTTTCACACACACACACACACACACACACACACACACACACACACACACACACACACACACACACACACACACATATATATATAAAGTGATGCGGTTAAGTTTTTTTTTTTAAATTTAATTCTTCTTGTCTTATAATTATCTTCTTTTCAAGTTGTAAATTATGTAGAAATTATGGGAATTGTTTTGTAAGTGCGAACGCTTTCTATAACCCAATATACATCCATAAAAGAATCCATACAGTCAGTAAAAAGTAAAAATAAAATCATCCTTGATAATGACTAAAAGTATAGCCGAAAGCGCTCGAACATACGGAACATTAGGACAATTTCTACAAAATTTGTGTCCAGAAAAGAAGAAAATTGTAAGAACACAAAACATAAATAAAAACTTAACACACTGTAGCTGGTTAGTCGTTTTTAAAACTGCTAACCTCATTGTCAACAATAATAACGCATCTGCAAGATCGAAATTATAAAGAACCAATATTATTTACGAATTCAGATGACCCTTAAGGAACTGTGTTCTTGATCAATGTAAATTCATAAATGATTATATTAGATATACTACAACATGCCTAACAAGAAGACTCACGTTACATCTTTCTAACCATAGCTCAATTAGGTCTCATTTAAACAAACATGGAGATCTACCAAATTCTATTTGCAACATATTCATTAATAATAGAAATATAATAACCTCATCCGCATGTAAAAAAAACTAAAAATAATGAAGGCATTATTAATAAAAAGTAAAAATCTAACACTCAATAATATCAACTATGAACACTATCATAATGTGCTGAGCGTTTTTGGAAAATAAAACATTCCTATAACTCTAGATATATACATAACAATCAATAATATCAACTATGAATATGGCCACAATCTACAGATCGTGTTTGGAAAAAAAAAAAAAAATTATGACTCTAAATAAATACATAAAACAATTTGTTTTGTAAGTGCGAGCGCTTTCTATAACTCAAGATACACCCATAAAAGAATCCATACATTTAGTTAAAAGAAAAAGAAAATCATCCTTGATAATGGCTAAAAGTATAGCCGAAAGCGCTCGGACATACAAAACATTTGGACAATTAGCTACATAATTTACGCCCTGAAAAAAGAAAAAATTAAGAACACAAGAAAAATTAAATAAATGACTTAGCCGCAGAATCTTGTCAGTCGTTTATATATATATATATATATATATATATATATATATATGTGTGTGTGTGTGTGTGTGTGTGTGTGTGTGTTACTGTAGACGTTATTTTTTAGTGGATAACCGTAGAAGCCCTGTCTTTTACATGGTGCAAATTACATCTAACGATCTGCGCATTCAAGAGACTTAATAAATATAAAAGTGTTCTCCAGCAGGGATCGAACCAGCGAACGCAGGGTTTTTTTTTTTTTTTTTTCACGCGGGGCCACCACCTCCATCGAGGTGCGAGACAAAATGTTGAACACTCAGATGGAGGTGTTCGTGTGTGTGTGTGTGTGGGGGGAGGGGTGTTATGTGGTTCACCGGGAATCTGCTTCGTCTCCCTCTCCTCATTTGAATCCCACCGACTTCCATTTCAAGCGTCATTAATCAGACCTCGCCCCACAACAAAACAAACAAACAAAAAAAAAACAACCCCGTTCTTTTCTGTTGGAGTCTCTCAGCCGACTCAGCACCTTATGATAAGATTACTTTATCTTCAGCTACGCTTTCCGCGGATCCAGTTATCCGCGCTCAACCACAGAAATGAATAATTAATCATTTTTTTTTAACAATGATGACAAAGCGCAAATGTTGTGATACTGAAAATCCAGGAAAGAGAAACGGTAAATTGTTTCCTTAAAAAGAAAGAAAGAAAGAAAAAAAAAAAAAAGGAAAACTCTGCGATTAAATACGGAAACAGAAAACTCATATGCTAACCTTGCTAAGATCTACGATCAAAATGGATCCGTTTCATTATTCTTATCATAGGCTATAGTTGCTATTATATTATTATTGTTAATCTCTTATTGTACCCAAATAAGTTTTACGGCAAAAGAAAAAAATCTTTTATCCGTCCATAACTTTTTATTACTGTCTACTATTATAATAGTTCTATTTTATTTTTATTTTTTTCACACTGTACCTATTTTTAAAACTACATTTTATCTTAATTTCGTATACAGGGGAAAATTATGGGGTTTGGTATTATCCGCGGTTTCAGTCATTCACTGGTGGTTTGAGAACATTTCCCACGTGGATAAGTGGTGCAACTGTATTATATATTTTCGTGTTGATCAAAATTATAGGGTTTGGTATTATCCGCGGTTTCAGTCATTCACTGGTGGTTTGAGAACATTTCCCACGTGGATAAGTGGTGCAACTGTATTATATATTTTCGTGTTGATCAAAATTATAGGGTTTGGTATTATCCGCGGTTTCAGTCATTCACTGGTGGTTTGAGAACATTTCCCACGTGGATAAGTGGTGCAACTGTATTATATATTTTCGTGTTGATCAAAATTATAGGGTTTGGTATTATCCGCGGTTTCAGTCATTCACTGGTGGTTTGAGAACATTTCCCACGTGGATAAGTGGTGCAACTGTATTATATATTTTCGTGTTGATCAAAATTATAGGGTTTGGTATTATCCGCGGTTTCAGTCATTCACTGGTGGTTTGAGAACATTTCCCACGTGGATAAGTGGTGCAACTGTATTATATATTTTCGTGTTGATCAAAATTATAGGGTTTGGTATTATCCGCGGTTTCAGTCATTCACTGGTGGTTTGAGAACATTTCCCACGTGGATAAGTGGTGCAACTGTATTATATATTTTCGTGTTGATCAAAATCCTTGGACGGATTATTTTCTACAGATTTTAAGTAGGTACGTCCAATGACTAGCCAATAATTGAGCATACCAAATGAAAAAAAAAATGCCCCAAATCTAATAAAAACAAAGTTTTATCGTCAAATCATGATGTTATTATTAAGTGGAAAGATCAAAGGATTTTTTGCTTATTAGATCATATTTCTCGATCTTTTTTTGAATCTTCAAAATTTTGGATAATTTTTTTTTCTTAAAGGGTGACCATAAATTAACATGGAAAATTTTAACATCTTGCTTTAGTGCAAAACAAATTGATTTGGAAATTCTTGCAAAAAATCAAATAATTGTTGGATTTTAATGAAACTTTCAAAAATTATTTACAAATGAATGAAGTTATTTTTTTTTTTACATGTTTCATTTTTAGAAAATCTTGGTAAAAATATTTTTTTACATTTGTTAATCACCATTTATTCAGTTTATGAAATTTAGAGAAATTCTTTTTTGTAGCGTTTAATGCTTATATTAATTATAACGACATGTCCTTGCAGAATTGAAATCATCAATTTTTTGTCAAACAGGACTACCAGTTTGAGAAAATCTCCTTTGAATCATAAGATAAAAATGCAATAAAACTAAGACATTATTTAATTAGAAAAGCTTTAAATTGCTTTTATGAATAAGATGTATTATGGACATTATTGTCTTAAGAAAAACAATATTTAATGAATAATGAATTTTTACAAGAATTGTTTCTATTTTTTAAAAACTAATTATAATAACTCTTAATTTTAAATCTTTTAAAATTCTAAATCAATTTATAGAGGTTGATAAATAAAAGCTATACTTACTAATCATAAATAGAAAAGCTTACTACAATTTAGCGATCCCAATATTTGAAAAAGAATTTTGAATTTTTTTGTGGGCGTATAAACGTGCCAATTTCTTTTTAAATACAGATGTCCATACACAATATATAAAAGCGATAACTATAGTAAATTTAAAATTTATTGGCAATTTTCTCAACAATCGTCGTCATAAGCAAGATTATAAAACCAAAATACTTAAAATTCAATAAAATATTAGATTACTTAGAATATTTTCCTAAATATTTAAGATTACTTGATAGTTAAAAAAAAAATTTATATAAAAAGGCGCTCAAGTTATATTCGTCAAGTAATTTTTACAGTTATGTCCACCTTAGAAAAAATTCCAAACATAAGCTTATCGAGAGTATTGTTGACATCTCATAAAATACCCACCTCAATGTTAAAAAATGCTTTTCTGCGATACTTAAAATAAAAGTAATATTTGTTTCAAATCAGATTAATTAAAATTTAAATGAGTTAATATTCCTCTAATAAAGTTTCAGATAAGTATACTTTATTTTTTAAATATTTTTTTAATAAAGAGAATTACGCTGTATTGATAGATTTGTCAATATGGCCGATTTCAGTGTTTTTACTGTTAAGAAACTTATTTCAATCAATCTAAATTCGCTTTGAAATACAGCAAATTATATTGTTTATTGGAAATATTAAATATAATCTATTAGCTTGAAATTAAAACTAAAATAAAAGCTTCAAGAAAAATTTTCATGTTTAAAAATGCATTTTAAATGTTCTGTATCGGTTTTCTTTGGTGATACTTAATTTTAGGTTTATTCTGCAAAAGCTCTGAAACCAGATTATCTTAAACTTTGTTTTATTATCCGAGTGATTGCTGAAAAGTTATTGCCCTTACCCCCTACAATCAAGAAGCTCTTTCCAAATATTCTATTATTTGAACATTTGTGTCAGATTTAGGGAAGTGTGTCAAGCCGAGAACTTTTCAGCACCCGTATTGTATTTGGCTACTCGACAGATAAAGAGTGTCACGCGGTAGACTTTGTCTCTGGATTCATCTATTTACTTAAAAATAATAATAATATTTATCGCGCTTTGATAAGGTGTTTTGTTATCAAATTTCTCAAGGCCATTGCAACTTAGGCAGAAAGGATATTGGAACGTCGGTTTTGAGGTCAGGAAATTAAAATGAAAGCTAAAACTTGTTGACCAGAAGAGATAATTTAAGATCGACAAGTGACCGACACTTATCACTATTTATGCTGCTTACAACTGCCAACAGTGGACATTGCAGATTTTACAAACATACAAATGCATCATCTATGGTAATGGTAATATTAGCCGTTTCCGTATAAGGAAACATTCGGCATTCATTGTCAGTGCGATTGCCAATTGAAATTTATAAAAATGTTCTATTAAAACAATTTCTAAGGAAAATAATTTTCTGAAGTCCAGTAACTGTTATTCATCTTTCCAGTATGTAGGATGTGGCGGGTGATATAATGGCTAGCGACTCGCAGTGAGAAATCGGAGAGCCGAGTTCGAATTCTAGTCGAGTTCGTTACATTCACTTACGCGTAAATACCTTTGGGAAAAGTATAAATCCATCTCTTCTCCTCACATCTATGGATTAAATAGTAGAATTTATCTGGAAAAATTATTTTTATTTCTCAAAATAGTTAATGCAATATTCACCGACAAAAAGCATTATTTTAACAATACACATAGACATACACTCTCTCTTTCTCTCTCTCTCTCTCTCACACACACACACACACACACACATATATATATATATATATATATGGAAAGAGAGAGAGAAAAAGAGAGAGAGTGAGTGATTGAGTGAGAGAGACAATTCATTTTTTTATCCAGCATTACTTCAAACGTAATTTTTAATGGATACTCGTATTTGAAATAGACGTCCCGTTTTTATTTTGAATATTGTGTATTACATCTATCGGCCTAAGCACTCGAGAACGGAGGGCATATTATTAAGATTTCTCGAGTGCGCAGGTGGATAAACCTTATAAACTCTTTAAAATTAAAACGGAGCGTCTATTTTAAACACGGATATCTACAGAAATATATATATATTATATATATATATATATATATATATATATATATATATATATATATAACCGAATGTAAATATAGGTAGGTATACGTGCGATCGATCGTATACAAATACATATAAATACTCTATGGTGTAAGAAAAAACAGTGCTCAATGATAAATAACAGAGCTATCTATCTATCTATCTATCTATCAAGGATCTCGGTGTGTGTTTCTATGTGTGTATGCTATTTATACACGTCCACATTTCTAATTTCAACGAAATTGTACACACATATTGCAAATTTATTAAGATAAGTCAAGATCAACTTTTGAATCTCTAGGCCCCACTGGGTTTGGCAGAAAAATCGATAAAACTGAGGGGGGGTACGACTTTTTGCAAAAACCAAGGCAAAATTACACGCGAACAAAATTTTGACTGGATGAGCAGATGTTCTTTGCATTTAAAGCAAAACATTGTTCATGTCACGAGGTTTATGTAGAGTGCTTGGGAGTTTTCCTGCGACATTGGCTTCATAAAAAAAATTGCAAAAACTGTGAAAAAAATCGGGTTTTTTGTACTACTTAAAATAAAAACTTGAATAACATCCTCTTTTTTTTTTTTATCTGATTTTCTTTAAACTTGCTCGCTTCCCGGCGTATAAAGCAAAACAACGAAAAACTGTTCAAAAAGCTCGTTTTTCGGTCATAACTCCCTGGTTTTTCATCTGATGCTTTCCAAATTTGCAATGTAAATTACATATGGCACACAAATTCATTTGCATGAATGTTTCGTTTAGATTATTTCATTTAAGTGGACGAAATTATTTAGTGGACGAAATCTGACAAATTATTAAGTGGACAAACTAGGTCAAATATCAGATTTTGCCATTTAACTAATAGTTTCTTCATATGATTCCATTCTAAATTGGGATTCGAACAACCTTTGATGCAAAGATTGGTTGAAAAGGATTATTGAAGCATTAAAATGGAAAAAAATCTCGAAGAACCTCTCTTTAACCCCATCTTTACAGCAAAGGTGCGAAGAAGGAGTGGGGTCGGTCATGTGTTTTTAATTGCAGTTGAATCAAGCTCTGATACTTCATCCCTGTTTTTGTTTGATTATTAGATTTGTGAACAATGCCATACTATTTGAAAATTATTACGGCCATAGGAAATTTACTGAATATCTAAAACATTGCAACAATTTAACCCCGAGCAACGACTACACAAGAAGGTTTTATCGATGGAATTCCTTTATTAAAAACAAACACTTGCGAAGGACATACCGTAAAAAAAGATGAGTGGAGGGAGTAGCTTAGTATGCCAACGGGTAATGCATGCAAGCGGGGACGGAGACAGACATTTCTAGACAGGGTGTACAGTGAGATGCAGTTATACAATTACAGCCATGTGCGACAGGGCTATGCCGGGCACTTCGGCTAGTATATATATATATATTAGGATATTATACCGAAAACACGTCAAAATGGCTACACTATTGCAGTCATGTTTCGATGCATATCAATGCATCTCATCAGGTGATTGTAAATTACTGCTACGTGAACGATTTATTTAGATTTAAAAGCAAAATACAACCTCTTTTTACGACAAAAGAATAAAAAAGCGGGTTATAAGGTTTGTAGGCTTTACTCTGATCAACCAATCAAATATGACCTACATTAAATTTAAACTTACCTGGATATAATATATATCGGCTTTAACCCACAAAGGGTTGATAAACCGTAAAAACAAATCAATACATATATTTACACAGCTAGAATTAGTTAAAACTTTTTCTATGTACCATGTCCCTTTAGGGCGTAGCCGATCATGGTTCTCCACAATTTCCAGTACTTTGTAGCCCTTAGTAAATTTTTTTCTTTTTGCTGGATTTTCTAATCTCTGTTAACTATTTACACACGCTTATTAAGAAGCTTATATGCTGATTTTCTCTGTCCTTCTTGCCTTCAATATATCCTGTGAGTGTCAAATTTTTCAAGCCCTCTTTCCTCGTTATGTTCTCTAGAGAAAATTCAACTATTTCTGGTGTTACATATAAATATCTTTTTTGTTTCCATTTTCCCTAAACTGCCTTGTTTCTTATATGTTCTGTCTATGGGATCCTCAGTATCCTGCTGTAGAGCAACATTTTTATTACTTATAATCTCTTCTTCATCTCTGATGAAATTGTCCAGCATTCACTGCCATATAGGAGGACCGATATTAAAACATTCAGTACTTTTTCTTTGTTTCCAATGAAATATTCCTGTTTCTTTATACTTTGCTTAGATTTTGGAAGGCATCTTTCGTTATGCCAATGCGCCTTCAGATTTCAGTGTCGCATTTTCTGACCTCTATTCCGAGGCTGGGCTGAAACATTCATAAGCTGGCTATGAAGGATTGATGCTAGAGCTGTGAGATCTTACATATATTTTGGCTCTTCTTATTTAATGAGTTGAATGTATGTAAAACCTGATTAACTAATGAAAATAGATGAACATAAAACTGAAAATACTAGAATTTCTTTTTCTCTCATTCTTTGATCTGATGAAGCTTTAATGAAAGCGAAACATGTTCGATTGATGAATGTTCCCTATTTGTTCTGTATGTTATCATTTTGTCAGATTCCAATCTATATCTGATACCAAATACATATTACATACATATTACATACATATTACATACATATATATGCACACACAGATGAGAGTGGGCTGAAAAGTTCATAGTCTGACTATAAAAGAGAGATACTAGATCTGTGAAAACTTGCATGCATTCATTTCAACTCATCTAATTAATAACTGCATTGTTTCTTTTCAGGTAAACTGACACCTGACTGTTCAAAGAAGACTTCAAAAGTAACTAGTAGTGACTTCTCTTGAGAATGGACAAAATTTGGCATTGTGGTATTATCAAAATACCTGCAGAAAAAAAGGTTTAACTGCCAAGGACATTCATGCTGACATTGGGGGATGACAACCTAGCTTTATCAACAGTGCAAAAGTGGGCTGTTGAAATTCAGAGGGTAAGGGAGAGTGTTAAAGATGAAGTCTCAATGTCTGGACATCCTGCCACTGCTGCCACTAAGGAAAATATTGGTTGTGCTCACCCCATGATGATTGATGACAGGTGATTGACTATAAATCAAATGGCCAATGTTGTTAGCATATCCTGTGAGAGAGTCGAGAATATTCAGCATGATGAACTTGGCATGATGAAGATTTTTGTTCATGTGGATCCTGATGTATTCTGATCAAAAATGACCCAGACTGATTACATCATGGGAAAATATTGGTCATGCTCACCACATGATGATTGATGACAGGTGATTGATTGTAAATTGAATTGCCAATTCCATTAGCATATCCTGTGAGAGAGAGTTGAGAATGTTCTGCACAATCAGCTTGGCATGATGAAGGTTTTTGTTCAGTGGGTGCCATATCTTCGAACCTGATAAAAAATCTACCAGTTTGATCACATCATAGGAAAATCTGATCTGATTTGAGACAGATCCAGCTGGTTTCCTTGAACATTCCCTAACTCAGGATGAGTGTTGAGCTCATCACTGAGCTAGAGACAATCCATGCACCAAAGTAGGCCAGGGTTATTTCATCTGCAGGGAACATGATGGCCTCTTGTTTGTTGGAGATGCAAAAGAGGCATTGTGATTATTTATTGTCTCCAAAAGGGCGGCCGAGTGCTATGCAAACTTGCTGAGACAGCTATGAAAGTTCATTAAAACTGAACGCTCAGGAAAACTGACAAAATGCAGGGTTAGCATTGGGTTCATCACTGAGCCAGCGAGAATGGACAATCAATGCATTAGAAGCACCCCACCTCACCTGCTCAAAAAGAAGGCCAGGTCGTTCAATGTGGAGAGAAGGTGATGACGGTTTTTTTTGGTATGCAAAAGATATTGTCTTTATTGATTATCCTCAAAAGGGCCACACCATCAATGGAGAGTACTATGCCAACCTGCAGAGGCAGCTACGGAAGGCTATCAAGGCGAAATACCCAAGAAACCTGACGAAAGGGGTCATGTTTCCTCAGAAAAATACTCCAGCACGCAAGTCCTTGGTTTCAATGGCTGCTGTGACTGCAGTTTAAACTGGTTGATTTGACTCCATCTGACTATCATCTATTCCCCAACATGAAGAAAAAACACTTGGCTGGGGATCAGTATCGCAGTGATGAAAACGTCATATCTGCTGTTGATAACTTTTTGAGCAGCAGCCTCTTCACCAGTGGAATCCAAGCGCTGCAACACTGACGGAATATTGAAAAATTAACTTCATTTAAACACATTCTATGAGAGTATCTTGGTCAGCCTATGTACCTTTTAGCCGACACTTGTAAAAGACTTCCTAATTTTTGTACTTGTTTAATTATGGTATGTGGAATGTGTAATTCGCATGTTTGTGTTTGGTTAAAAAGAAACAGCCGGGCATTTAAAGTAAGTTTTATTAAATTCAACAGCCAAAATCGTTGTTGAGCTTTTTCGTGTTGTTTCAATTTTTTTCGACTATCTCTGTCATTATCAAGAACTAAATGCTGTCAGTATGGTAGACAAAAGTTTGTCAGCTACACGCAGCCATTTTTGGAACGTTAGATTTCAAATTTAATTATACGTGCGTCGTTTCACCAAATTTAGTATTACCGGAAACGAATATATTAATATTTTTATACGTATTTAAAATAATTTTTGCACATTCTAAAATGTCCTCTCTTATGTAAATACGAAATATTTAAGCTATTCATTTTCTGATATTGCCAAGCTCGGTGAAAATCGTTCTGTACATGACGTCACTTACAAAACATATTTAATTATGAAATGTTATGTTCTAAAAATGCCATAAAGTTTTTGCTCTCATGCCTTTCCAAAATTAATTCATTTTCCATGATTTAATTGCAGCTCTATTAAAATTGTCTACGGCGATAAACCTCGTCTAAAGTTATGCAAATCACATAAACCTCAATAACTCAAATTTGCTTAGAACAATTTTTGCTTAGAACAATTTTTGTCAAACTTTAAACGATTAACTTATACGTCAAAACAAAGCATGAGTTGAATTTTTTGGTCGTTTGAACATGTTTTAATAAATTTATTAGATTTATTATAAAAACTGCAGTGTGAAGTTATTATGCAGATTAAACTCATATTAGTTTAAGGCCTCTTAAATCTAATAAAAACGATTTTTCCTTAATACATGTTCTAAAGGATA